TAGTTGTATGTCATAGCTGCACATCCTTCTAGTTGCTGTATGTGGGACGCGGCCTCAGCATGGCCGGAGAAGCGGTGCGTCGGTGCACGCCCGGGATCCGAACCCGGGCCGCCAGCAGCGGAGCGCATGCACTCAACCGCTAAGCCACCGGGCCGGCCCCAGAGCTGCCTTTTGAATGCAGTTCTCCACTCTTTGGGCAAACCCCTGAGCAGACCCCAAGCTACATCCCTGGCCACAACTCTCCACAAAGCCCCCGGCCTAATCTCAGACAGGCTGCTTACATTTCAGCATTTCTGCTCCAAAGTTTCATGTAGGATGGGCAGCTGCGGACAGGCGTCCAGGCAAGGGCTGAGACCAGCTTGAAGGTTTAGGATGAAGGCTGTGAGAGAGGAGGTGGCAAGTGTCAGACTCCGAGCATGAGGCCATGCCTCTGGGACCAAGGCTCCACGCTGAGGAAGGCCCTGCTGGGGCCAACAGCCCAACCTACCTTGGCAGCTGTGATAGGTCCTTCCAGGAGGGGCTGGGCCCACTGCTGTCCATTGCCCCCTCCTTCAGGTCTCCATTGCTAGGAATTGTGGCAGCAGGTTCACCCTAGGAAAGGAGCCTGTAGAAAGCAACTCCCTGGTCACCACCAAACTTGGCTTTCTTATGGCTATTTACACTGAGTGCCAGGCCACCCTCTTAGAGACCCATGATCAGGGGCTGGTGATCTCGCACAGATACAGGACTCTTGGACCTAGGGGATCCCTTTGGGAAACTCAGGTCTGTTAGATGCCAGCTCTATCGGTGGGTGGCTTGGTGGGTGGGTGTGTGCACAGAGAGGGCCACCAGGGCCAGGGAAGGGCAGCTCAGACCTCCCAGTCCAGCCAATACCACTCAGGGCCATAACCACTCGAGTGGGCCCCCAGCGGTCTTTCCCGAAGACCGCCGCCTGCCTGGGGTGGGAGCGTCAGGAGAGACTCGAGCTCCGCGCACCCAGCAGGTGGATCGGCACCCGGGTTGCGAGCGAGGCGGGGCCCGCTCGGCGGGGCCCGCTCGGCGGGGCGGGGAGAGGCGCGGCCCGGGGGTGGGGGCGGCGCGTGCAGGAATGCGCACCACCCGCTGCGCGGCCCCGCCCCGAGCATCCCGCGCCGACGGGGCTGCGTCGGATCGAGCTGCAGGGCGAGAGTTATGGCCGCTGCGAGACAGCCGCAGGCCGAGGAGCTGCTGGCCGAGGCCCGGAGAGCCTTCCGGGAGGAGTTCGGGGCAGAGCCCGAGCTGGCCGTGTCGGCGCCAGGCCGCGTCAACCTCATCGGGGAGCACACGGACTACAACCAGGGCCTGGTGCTGCCCATGGTGAGGGGCTGGGCGGGGAGCCCCAAACCTCTCCTGCGACCTGGGCTGCCCCGCCGGAAGGGCGGGCCGTAGGGGCGCGGGGAGGTACCTTCTCCCTGCGTGGCCTGTTGGGCGAGCCGCACCGAACTTGAGCCCCCGCTAAGTTTGGGGGAGCACGTGGGAGAGACCCTGGGATCGAGCATTTCCCACGTTGGAAGGGAGGAGGCCGGGAATCCGCTAGGAAGTAGGCTGGGAGAGGGGTGTACCGACGCCACTTCGCTCCAGCCCGCCCTCTGGACTGCTGATCCTGCCGTCAACCTGGGAACCACCTCAAAATGTGGGCCCCCCCGTAGCATGCGGAAGGGGTCCCTTTGGGCTCTGGGCTCCATGGGGTTATCGCAGATGGGGGGAACTAGACCTAAGCCTCCCGGCCCAGTCTGCTCAATTTACAGAGGCGGAAACTGAGGCCCAGAGAGGGCTAGTGATCTGCTCAAGGTCTCACAGCTGTTCCTTGGTAGGGCTGTGACTAGCGTCAGGCCTCGCAGCTTCAGCCTGGGGCTCTTTCGACCCCACTGTGCAGCTTGGCAAGTGAGTGAGTACAGTGCACCTGAGGCCACCCCAAAATGGGAAGGCATTAGATGGAGTTCCTCTGATCCTGTTTTCTTTTTGAGCTCTCTATCCCCTTTGCCCCACAGCTGGGAGCCTATGCTCAGGGCAGAGTCCAGGTCTGCATTCCAGCTGCACTGGTTCCACTGCCCCTGAAGACCAGGAGGCAGGGCCCAAGCCGCCAGGGCCCCCTCAGCACTCAGGCTCTTCACTAAGACATTCCCCATTCACTGCATGTTGAGCCTGAAGGTCACCTCCCTGTCTGTCCAAGGCCCCTCATCCTTCAGAACCTTAGTATTGGAGGTGCCTCATGCATCCATCAGCAGGCAGAAGCCTTGCATATTCCTTGTCTCTCCTGCCAGGCACTGGAGCTTGTGACTGTGCTGGTAGGCAGCCCCCGGGCGGATGGGCTTGTCTCCCTCCTCACCACCTCTGAGGACGCCGATGAGCCCCGGCGGCTGCAGTTTCCACTGCCCACAGCCCAGCGGTCGCTGGAGCCTGGGACCCCCCGCTGGGCCAACTATGTCAAGGGAGTGATTCAGCACTACCCAGGTATGGGGCCCAGGTCTGGGTCAAGTTCATGCTGGTCCCAGGAGTGCCACCTGTCAGCCACAAAGCTCATTAGCTCATCCAATCCATTGTGGGGTAGGCTTGCAGAGAAGAGCATGATGAGGAAAGAGTAGTACAGATGAGGAGACTGATGCCTTGAGAGGTTCCAGAACTTGCCGTGGGTTGTCTATTTCATGATTGAAGGAGCCAGGACTCAAACCCTAGCCTTTGGCCTCCAGAGCCCTAGGAAGACTGTGTCCCAGGAACCCCAGGGTAGGGGGATGGAGGGCAGTGGGCCTCTTGGCCCCGCAGGTTGGTGGCCTCTAACAATTGAGACACATCCCTGGAAGCAGCTGCCAGGCATTTGCCTCCCTTCATACCAAAATATATGCCCTTCCTGTGCCGATCCTGCCAGATGAACCATCTCACCATCACTCATTCTTTCTCCTCCAGCTGCCCCCCTCCCTGGCTTCAGTGCGGTGGTGGTCAGCTCAGTGCCTCTGGGGGGTGGGCTGTCCAGCTCGGCATCCCTGGAAGTAGCCACGTACACCTTCCTGCAGCAGCTCTGCCCAGGTACCTCCTAGACCCCAGCCCCAAACCCAGCCCTCCTTCCCTGAAGTCTCCTTCTAGTCAGGGCTTTTTCTCCTACTGTGGCTTTGGGAGGGACGTGAGGAATCTCCCTGGAGTGTCATTGGAGCTACCGATGCTCTCAACCACCCACCCCTTGTGGCCCCTCCTGGGCCCCAGCCTCCCCACCTCACCCTGTGCCACAGACTCGGGGGCAATAGCTGCCCGGGCCCAGGTGTGTCAGCGGGCCGAGCACAGCTTCGCAGGGGTGCCCTGTGGCATCATGGACCAGCTCATCGCACTGCTGGGGCAGAAGGGCCACGCGCTGCTCATTGACTGCAGGTCAGGGGCTCCCCTTGTACCCTCCCACCTCATAATCAGGAACTTCTGGGTGGAGCTTGCCCACTGCCTTGCCTGGCAAGCAGACACGTGGCCTTGCCATCTCCTCACTCCAACTCCATCCCAGGTCCCTGGAGACAAGCCTGGTGCCGCTGTCAGACCCCAAGCTGGCCGTGCTCATCACCAACTCCAATGTCCGCCACTCACTAGGCTCCAGCGAGTACCCCCTGCGGCGGCGCCAGTGTGAGGAAGTGGCCCGGGCACTGGGCAAGGAGAGCCTTCGGGAGGTGCAGCTGGAGGAGCTGGAGGGTGAGAGCGGGCTGGGTGCGCTCTGTCCTGGATATGGCTGGGCACCCTACGGGGGCTGCCAGACCCTCGACGTGGCCTTGACCCTGCTGAACACTCCCTCATCTCCAGGCCTCTGCCCATTCCCCCTAACACTGCTAACCTGGGGCTCCAAACTCAGTAGGGCTGCTTGAAATCTCAATATTGTTTTTTGTAATATGAGAATTACGTTTCCCCTGTGGAAAATGTAGAAAAGTACAAAAAAGAAAACAATAAGCTATAAGGCCTCTACCCAGAGATAGTCACCATTAGTAATTTAGCATATTTCCTTCTAGCATTTTTCTACATCTATATTTTCAAAGTTGAGTATATGCAATATTGTCTCTTGCCCATTTTTTTTTCCTTAACATTATCTCAGAACCGTTTCCTATGCCATGAAAGGCCCATCATCAACATGGCTTTTTTGTTTTTTTTCTTGAAGAAGATCAGCCGTGAGCTAACATCTGTGCCAATCTTCCTCTATTTTTTATATGTGGGTCGCCTCCACAGTGTGGCTGACGAGTGGTGTAGGTCCATGCCCAGGATTTGAACCTGTGAACCAGGACTGCCCAAGTGGAACGTGCTGAACTTAACCACTCTGCCACGGGGCCAGTTCCAACATGGCTTTTTAAAGCTACATAATATGTATTTCAGCATACAGGTGCACCATAACTTACCTAACCATTTTCTGAGACTCATACCTAACACTGTGATGAGTATATTTATATATATGTCTTTCTCTGCATTCTCTTATTATTTTCTTAGGATTAAATTCTTATGAGTAGGGGCTGGCCCCGTGGCTTAGCAGTTAAGTGCATGCGCTCTGCTACTGGCGGCCCGGGTTCGGATCCCGGGTGCGCACCGACACACCGCTTCTCCAGCCATGCTGAGGCTGCGTCCCACATACAGCAACTAGAAGGATGTGCAACTATGATATACAACTACCTACTGGGGCTTTGGGGGGGAAAAAAAAAGGAGGAGGATTGGCAATAGATGTTAGCTCAGAGCCGGTCTTCCTCAGCAAAACGGGGAGGATTAGCATGGATGTTAGCTCAGGGCTGATCTTCCTCACACACACACACAAAAAAATTGTTATGAGTAAGACTACAGGGTCCAAAGATACAGGTATTTTTAAGGTTCCTATACACATGGCCAGGAAGTTAGTCTATTTAATAGTTTGAAGGTCATATAAATATTAACTCATTTAATTCTCTCACAACTGTGTAGAGCAGATACCATTATTCTCATTTTTTCTGATGGAGAATCTACAGTAAGTGACAGTGCTGAGACTTGAATCAGGCAGATTAGCTCCACAGCCCACATGCTGAACCATGGGCCCATGCTGCTGGTGCTGGGGGTTGCGCCCTCCCTGGCAGTGTAGGTGTGCCCATTTCAGGGATGCTAGCCAACCCCAAGGGACCATCGTGTCCTCCTTGGGGAACTGTCGTGTTCAGACCTGCTCCGCCTGCTCTGTGCAGGTGACCTTGGCTGAGGTTTTCACACTTGAACACTTTGGCCATCCCTCCTCTCCACTGCAGCCCTTCCATACCACTCCTGGGGGTCTCCCTCTACCTCAGAAACAGTGCTCCCCTCTGCCTTCCCCAGAGTCCTCCCCAGCAGCCCCCACCCAGTCTCTCACACCTTCCCTACTTCCTGCCCTTTGCCTGGCTCCTCCCCTTCTGCTTTGAAACACGGTTTTCTTTCCTCCTAAAATGGATTCTCCTTCCCCTGCCAATCTTCTTGGAAAAGTACCTAATGTTCATCACCCCCATTTTCTCATCTCCACTCACTTCTTAATCCTGAGAATCTGCCTGACCCCCTCCCATGCCACCTGCCGTAACGACTTTCCCAGGGTCCCCACATAAACCTGTGGATCGCGCTCCCCTACCCCTCAGTGGCTGGATCTGCTTATTTACAGTCCTTCTGTTTCTCTGCCCCAGCCTGCCCCAGGCTTTGTTCTCAGTGCACACCACCAGCCACCACTGCTCCACTAAGGACTCAGATCGGAGCCCCTTGCTCTCCTGGCTGCAGCCCCCCGTTTCTACCTGGGGTTCTGGAACCTTCACCTGACCCACAATGGAACTCACCATCCTTCCTCCCCCACAGGCTTCTCCTCCTGACTTCCTCCTGTCTCTTATTTCATCTCACCCTTGTCACTCCTGTTTGAAACTTCAGAGTCACCTCTGAGTCCTCACTGTCCCCCCTCCCACTCGCCTCTGACCTCTGTCCCCTCCTTTCCTTCCTCCCTCGATCAGGCCCCTCGTTGGTCTCTGACTACATAACAGCTTCCGGCTGAGCTCCTGGCACCCGCTTCTCCCTGCCTGGACCCTCTGCCCACTGCGCACGGCAATTACTTTTGTCTCCTAGAGCTCAGCTCTGTCCCTCCCCTGCTCCAAAACCTCTGTGGCACACGGAACTAAGCAAAGTCCCCTGCAGCTCTGGGCTGCCATTATTGACTCGGCTTGCTCTCCCCGCCAGCGTGCTGGTCCCCTGGTGTGCCCTGTGCCCTGCCTCCTGATCTTCATCTGGGCTCTTCCCTTCCCAACACTGGAGCGCCAGCCCTTGGAGTCTCCGTTGTTGCTCCAGCATAAACATCAGCAGGATTTCTCTCCTGCTCTATCATGGCCTCCTTTTTTTTTTTTTTTGTGAGGAAGACTGGCCCTGGCCTAACTCCGTGCCCATCTTCCTCCACTTTATATGGGACGCCGCCACAGCATGGCTTGATTAGTGGTGCGTCGGTGCATGCTTGTGATCTGAACCCAGGGCCGCCAGCAGTGGAGTGTGCGCACTTAACCGCTATGCCACAGGCCAGCCCCTATCGTGGCCTCTTTTTTTTTTGTGTGAGGAAGACCAGCCCTGAGCTAACATCCAATGCCAATCCTCCTCTTTTTTGCTGAGGAAGATTGGCCCTGGGCTAACATCCGTGGCCATCTTCCTCTACTTTATATGGGACGCTGCCACAGCATGGCTTAATGAGCGGTGCGTCGGTGCGCACCCGGGATCGAACTGGCGGACCCCGGAGCCGCCGCTGCAGGGGAGTGCGCGCACTTAACCCCTTACACCACCTGGC